ATGGATTTGGATGGTGGTCATAGAAAACCTGTTATAAAACGACGCAAACCCATCGAGTTTCGGCTCATTAGATTCGTCTCGGCGAGTACTTTATTTTTAGATGGTTACAGTGTCTGATCTGAAGATGGTGCTGGTCTTAGGAACTCCTAAAGAAACGACACAACCGCGTCGAGTTTGGTTCGTCTTAATGGGTTAATGGTGGTTTTAATGGGTGGTGAGTGGTGGTGGTTTGGTGGACGTGAATATGCGACCCCAAAAGACCGTTGAAAGAATAATACTCCCTATTGCCTGTTTTGGACTTCGATTGTGCAAAAAATGCAGGAAAATACTGTAGATCATGCTGTTTGCTTCAGGTTAAGCTTATGTGGCTTTAAGTAAGAGTTCGGTCTTCAGCCGGTCTAATCGAAGAACTTGACTGCTTCAAGTTGATTTCGAAGAAACCTTGTAATATTGACGCATTAAATCAAATGAATAGAATGAGAAATATTACAAACAAACCAGAAATTACAGCGACTAAACAACATTTAACATAATTATGCATTGTCAATGTAATACGCATTTATTTATAAAAAAAACTAGCTGTTAATCGCGGCTTTTCCCGCGTGGCCAAAGGAAATCAATAATGAGTTTTTATTATACACCAGAATATCTCGCAGATGGCTGAATTTTTTCCTAGTTTTTCCCTACGTACTATTTTTTATACTTATCATTACCAATATTTTGCATATATCACTATCTTAAAATTCACACAAAATCTTTATAAATTGTAGCCTATGTGTTATTCTGATGTATAAGCTATATTTTTTTAGGGTTTCATTACAATCTATTCAGTAGTTTTTGCGTGAAAGAGTAACAAACATCCATCCATACATAGAAACTTTCGACTTTATAATATTTTAGTAAGGATGGGTATGTGATAACGCAAATAGTAAATACTCGTAGTAAATACGTGGTGTAAAGGTTTAATAAAAATGTCTAATAAGTATATAAATACTTATGATATGGATATATTATGACGTACAGTAATATGGTTAATAATTAAAACTAGTAGAAAAAGTACGAAAAGATTGTCACCGCTGTGGGAATCGAACCCACGTCTTCGGCATTTGCGGGCTGACGCTTTTATCCACTAAGCTAAACGACTGATTGCCACACCGACGAAAATCTTAACGTCTTTTATCTACATTATTTCTTAGCATTTGAAGCAATGCTTGGCGCATCCATTGTTATATCCTTTCCAGCATACAAACAATTTCGAATATTGTTTTACAACGATAATTCGAACGAGAGATGGTAAATAATTGTTAAAGGTTGCAATGAAATCTATGTATTCATATTTTGCTTATCAGGTTTAAATTATTATTTTTAAATTTTTATTTCTCTTTTTTATTAACAAGAATATAATAAAAGATTGCTTGTTTTTAAAAAAAAAATTTTAATTCTTTTAATCTTGGCCAGAGTGAATTAAATTAGTAGTCAATAGCAGTTCCGTGGCCCTGACACCTAAGCTTTTTTTATTTAATTATATTTGAGTATGTAGGTATATTTTATAGTAACGTGAATATTTGGGGACTTTTTATGAGCGATATACTTACAACCTTCATGGGTAGACCGAGCCCCTACAGTAGCGACCTTTAGGAGTTGATGATGATACTTATTTTTATTTGATATGATGATATTTAAAATAGTGATGGCAGTCCCCGATGGATATTCTTGAGTTTTGTATTAAGTTTATAGGGAGCTGAATATGTTATTGCTACATCTATAATTATCGAGAACCAAATAGGTAGTGAAGGGAAATGCTATGAAAACTGATACTCTATTATTAACATACTAGCTGCTGCCCGCGACTACGTCTGCGTAGAATAGAATGAAGGCGTAACATTCAGACAGGAAGACATATATACATAAAATATGTATATAAATTATAGCCTATGTCTTATTCTGATGCTATATTATTGTAAAGTTTCATTAAAATCCATTTAGTAGTATTTGCGTGAAAGAGTAACAAACATCCATCCATACATACAAACTTTCATAGTTTATAATATTATAAATGAAACTAAGTTTACGGATTTATCGCGTTTATTTTTAATTTTAATTCCCGACGTTTCGAACCCTTTACAGCGTTCACGGTCGAGGGACAGACTGAGGTGTTAGACGTCTGATTGTCATAGTTAACCCGGGCTACCGTCAGTTTTTGAATTATTAATTTTGTGTCCGATCTATGCAGAGGGAGCTAATTGTATCTTTGATTTAAAAAATTAGGGTGTTTTTTAATTTCAATAGCCTCGCGAATCATCCTTGGGAGGAATCGTTGTTCTTTTGCAAGGATTTAATTTTATTGATGACAGGATCCCAAGCTGATGGTAGTACCCAACCTTCTTCTCTATTGAAATTAGGGTGTTTTTTAATTTCAATAGCCTCGCGTCACAGATACTTAATCGGTGATTCTCACCACCATCCATCCCAGTTAGCTACCGTGGGTAAATCTTTGTTTCAGAGAGCACAAGGGATCTGTGACAAACAACACCTGGCCGTTGAGCTTCAACATGTCAAGCAAGTTCTGCATGACAACAAGCTTCGAGCACCGCGCCTACGTCACAGTGACCGAGTGAAACCAGCCACAATGGAGCGAGTACCTGCTGTTCTACCATACGTCAGAGGACTCACCGACAAGATTGGCTATATCTTAAAGCAGGCTTCAATTAATACATTCTACAAGCCGCTGACGAAGATTAGACAGTTTTTACCATCTGTCAAGTGTAATATCCCTCTGCAAGATCCAGGAGTGTACAAACTTGACTGTGAATGTGGGCTCTCTTACATAGGTCAAACGAAAAGAGCAATAAAAACCCGCGTGAAAGAACAAATAGCTGACATAAAACACAATAGATTGAACAAGTCTGCAGTTTGTGAGCACATTTTAAATAGGCCCAACCACTACATCAGGTTTGACAAACCACAGATCCTTGCAAAAGAACACCGATTCCTCCCAAGGATGATTCGCGAGGCTATTGAAATTAAAAAAAACACCCTAATTTCAATAGAGAAGAAGGTTGGGTACTACCATCAGCTTGGGATCCTGTCATCAATAAAATTAAATCTAGGCCCAAACGAACCACTCCTGCAAGACAAGATACAATTAGCTCCCTCTGCATAGATCGGACACAAAATTAATAATTCAAAAACTGACGGTAGCCCGGGTTAACTATGACAATCAGACGTCTAACACCTCAGTCTGTCCCGTGACCATGAACGCTGTAAAGGGTTCGAAACGTCGGGAATTAAAATTAAAAATAAACGCGATAAATCCGTAAACTTAGTTTCATTTATAATGTGTAATCGCGTAAATACAAGAAATTATTTATAATATTAGTAAGGATTTGACCGACTCCGCGAGGGATCAACTCTACTTATTAAATCTTTTTACGTTTATTATCTCGCGTCATATTTATTTTTCAATTATTTCAATTACTTTTTAACCTTCGTGGGTTTTTTAAATATATTTAATTTTGCTTTTCATTTTAAACCTTTTAGAGAGCATAGATATACTTTACATAACGTGCCGCCCCGGGCGTTCGCCCGAATGACCCTGTGGAACAAATGCCACGAGCGATTGAGAAGAACTTTACGCCGACCGCAAACCGAGGAAATAGAAGACCATAAAGTTGCCTTCGTCTTTTACTACAACATAGGTTCTTACGCTTAAATCGTGAAGATCGTATGTTTTAAATTTTTTTCTAAAGAATTTATAGTTTCTACATCATACCGAAGTACTTACCGAGTACCTACCGAGTTTGCTTATTATAAAGTAGCTACTATAAAATATATTAATGCAGCGCCCTCTAGTAGGCCGGTGGTAAAATAATTGTGAGCCGTGATAGCTCAGTGTCCGGGCGCTCGCCTTTAATTCAATATACTCGAGCAACCTGAGTTCGATCCCCGGTGCCGGCACCAATGAAGTTTTTAACTTTAAGTGCTGACTTATCACGTGCTCCGCGGTGATGGAAAACATCGTGAGGAAACCTGCATATTTTCGAAATAATAACAAAAAAAATATATTTCGAAAATATGTGAAGTCCACCAATCCGCAGTGGGGCCGCGTGGTGGACTATGCCCTGATACCCTCTATATAGAGGAGGCCTTTGCCCTGCAGTGGGACATGTATAGGCTGTTACTTTTTTACTTTTTACCTCTAGTAGGCTACTAGCACTGCATCAAAATCGGACTAGTAGTTGTGGAAAAAATGGCAAAGTGTATTTGCACAAACAAACAAACATCGTCTCACCCCAGACGCATATACCGTCTCCGTTCCGTCGTGGGTGATAAAAATATTGTAGTATATGTAGTGTTGTAGTAGTACCCTGTAGTAAGGAGAACCGTTGAGGGACTGTGTGAAGTTATGTGTGATATGCCAGATTTCGGTATAGATGAGATCCATAAATTGAATGAATGAATGAATGAATATTTTATTTAGTTTCAACAACAAACACAGTTATAACGCTACACACTACGAACACACGTCTAACGCTACTTGCCAATAATTTTTTCAAACAAACTAATTAAGTAAAAAAGAAACAAATTTTGTATCATCCTATACAACTTGCGCTACAGCGTCGCATTACAAGCTTCTCCTTCTAACAGTATGTCTTTTCTCTTTTAAATTCATTCAACCCATTCATATGCTTTGTGACCTTTACAAATGAACTTTACGTTACAGTTTTATACGTAAGGATGTTCTAAAATTGTTTGTTTTGAAAAATTTAATAACTGGGTTAATATTGATGTTTAAAGAATGTAAATGTTTAATACAATTTTAAAAAGTTATCCTCTATATGTGTGTTCATTTATTGTCGCGGTGGTAACGACACGCTGTATATCTAAGACATGAAACCAAATAGGTATGTACTCGGTACGATTTCCCGATCAGTACATACCAAAAATATTAATTATAACTAACTGGATCTCCGTGTTCGTAACATTTATGTCCAGCCCTAAGAAAGCACAGCCACAGGGCGAGGGTGTGGCGCGCAGGGGCGGGAGGCTGCCGACGGGCACACGTGCCGGCGCAGGCCGCTGCTGCCGCGGAGATGCATGATAAAATAACGAGTTACGTAACCGGCCGCGGCGGTACTTTCTTCCGCGAACCCCCCAGCCCCACCGCCCCCCAAACCACGCAGCCCGCGCCGTGGGATGCCACCAGGGCTGCTAAATGTTAGCTGATCAAAAGCCAGCGTTGGTATTTACATAGCTTTCACACCACGCCAACAGTTTCATGTTTCATTTAAGTATATCCTAATACGATAGTATGAAACATCCTATGGTGACGCGCAAGCAATGTTACATAGTAAAGATTTTGTTAAATAAGTATAAATTTTTATTTAATAACTAATTAACTCTGTCTTTAAAAAATCTGATACTTTATTTTTATGCTATATTTAGATTGTTATTCTATTCATCATCATCATTTCAGCCTGTTGGAGTCCACTGCTGAACATAGGCCTCCCCCACAGACTGCCATATTATTTCAATATTTTTATTTGTTTCATGAAATATCCTTTTATGCATATTTTTAGTACATAATTTCGATGTTTCACATCGACCAAGCGCCCCAAGTCGGCTAATTATTTTGCTGCTTTGTTTCTTATTTATATTGGTAAATAGGGGAGATTCAAAGGCAACCTAAATATTATTAAATAAATATGAAATTGGCATCATGAAGTACATATAAAGAATGATGAGATGGCGTTGAGGTATTTCTCAGAGCGACGATACGCGCCCCCGTGTCACACGGGCCGTGTGCCAACCCTGAGAATTTTCCAAAGCAATGATTGCAGTTCAACAAACTGCGCGCGAGTCGATCGTTGAACCTGCACTAACGGTCAGTGCTTCTCGCTCGCTCGCCAAGCGTGGACGCGCCCCGTCCCTCTTCGAGCCGTGATATAGGCTCCTCGACTATTTCCATTGCAATTGTCGCTCCCTGGGAAACACGGAGAGGAGACTCACTGCACGTACCACATATACGATGCACGCGACGCAAACAATACGAGCCTCGCGGATTGATATATTGTACAAGCAATAAGCAATAATTCGAATACGGGTCAAAGGTCCTTCGATATTTTAAAGTGGAAACATACCTATCTTTTATTAACTAATTAGATACTTCGTAGTTAACAGTTTTTTTTTTATTTTATTTCTATTAAGAATTACTTTTTCAAGGAGTAAAATTTTTGAAATCCCCACTAACGTACGTATTTTTTCCGAAACTTATTATGGAACTAGCGGATTCGGCATACGTTACACACATCTTAAATCCGTCCAGCCGTTTAGAAGTTCAGTGATATGCACACGTACTGAAATAATTATATATATATACTTATAAAGATAGATGCCATTTAATTTTGCGTCCTTTTATTAATAATTTCCAAGAGTGAAAATAAACCTTAATTATAAAGGTTAATTTATCAAGTAACGATACCAACTACCATCAAAAGGAAATACAGCCAATAATAATTATGTATTTCGTATCTCATATACGACTAAATGTTGTTGTTTGGCGATGTGGGATAATAACGCTAACTGAATAGTTAGAGACTACTTTCGGTGCTCTAGATTCGCATTAAACCCCGGCGACTAAACTCACGAAATGCATTTGTTTTAAACTTTCCAAACTAAGCTATAGCTGGTACGCCAACGAAGTTAAACCTGAATAATTGTATTCTCTAATAAAATCTGATTCGTTGCATTGCATCCATCGTTATAATTAAAAATGGTCACAACAAGGCTAGATGTTTTTGAAACATAAAATGAATAATGTTCTTAAGAAAACTAATCTATGTAGGTACCAAACACATTGTCTTTTAAAATAGTTTGTTGCTTCTGATTAAAAAAAAATGTTTTGATTTATTAAAGGCAGGACAAAAACGAACATGGAAAATTCTAAAGAGAATATCAGTGAATCTTAGGTGCTTTGTTCTCGGCTTGGGGCAATAAATGAATGAATGACGCGGTTAGGGGCAAAAAGTATGATTACGGGAATGTATTTAATTAAGTTGACACCTAAGCGGGCTAACCTTTTAACCTAACCTAACCCAAACAAATATTTAACCCAAAAAAATACTTATCCCGTTACTGATCGAGTCAACAAAGATAAGTTCCATATGATGTATTCGCTCGTATTCGATAAATTTTCATTTAGCTATTTAGACCGTGCATTTTGTGGGCGGAGATTGAAAAATGTGTGCCTAGAGGGACAGACTCCGTGCCCTGAAGGTGGTTCCCGCTGCCGGTTGCTCCTCACGGACTAATGCACGTATCACCACCAACCACCTATCCGCCTAATTAACAAAGCAACAAGCAATATAAATGATTTCCCTATTAGTTTGGACCGCAATAACTTGTTAAGCTCTACATGTACCCTCAATTATTAGCTGTTGAATGCTAATTAACTATCGAATTCTTTGTATAACTTGATGTACAACTCGTTTCTTTAGAGAAGTTCACTTCAGTTTTCTAGTTGAACTATAAAAAGTTTATTATTCTAAGGTCTTCAGAAAATTTTGGCGCTGCCAAAATTTTTTATTAGGGCCACTTTTTTAAGAGTTCAAATTTCATCCTCTGACCCGCTTATTAGCGGAGGCTTTGAACATAGGCAACTTGACTATGTTCAAATGCTTAGTTTTACGAATGGCTTGTTAATTATGTATTTATAAGTAGATGTAAAAGTTGACAGTAGAAATAAACGCGGTACAAGGTAGGAGTTCCGGCTTACGCACTGAAAGTCGTGAAATGGCATCCTCGGCAGGAAGGTGAAAGAGTGAATTGCATAGCTTGCATTGCTGCAGATATAGATTCGAGACCAAACCAGTGTAACGATCGCGGGAATTCGTCGTTGGCTACGATTTGAGCGCATTTCCTGCTTCGACGTCCGGGCCGTGAGCACGATGCGCACTCGGAGCGCTTCCCCGGCTCGAGAAAGGTCTGCAATGTGGACAGCCAGTTGGCAGTTCACCTGATGTAAAGTGATTACCACCACCCATGAACATTTGCAAGACCCGTTTCGTTGTAGATGCCACTTGGAGGCAATCCACTCACCAGACGAAACGCAGAAGTATAACAATTACACTTCACAGGCCTGTGGCTGAGAGGTCATGGTACATCCCCGGATAGGCATACCCGGGGGCATATTCGTGAAACTGAACGTGACGCAGACTATCACACGCCTATCACAGTGAGCCTATCACAGTAAAGAAAACAGTTTCTTTACCACAGGACAATGTTGTGGTACTGGTAAAGATTTTTTTTTGTTTTCCACAAAAAGTATAACAGACGGTAGCGGTCAACTTAAGACGAACGTGGTTTCCTTAGTGTAATGAACTATTCATAAAAATACCTGACAAATATATTACACACGAGTAAAAAGTAATAAGAGTAGTACAAACTTGGGATACGTTTGTTCTCCCACTCCGAATTGTTCTCCCTTCAAAGTTGATCACTTAGGCAAAAGTAAAAAACTGCCATACCTATGCTCATCGCACCATTTGTGGCTGAGGGCGTGGACTATGGTAGCTAGTCGCGGGTTCTTGCGGGTTTGCTTACTAGTGAAGTACAAATCGTTCACGGAATATTCCGTTTTGCAGATTTATAATGCTCGGCCAGCATCGCTGCTCTCGAGCACTCGAGAGGAATAGTAGGGCGCTCAAGTGCGGGTGACAACAATGTGTCGGCATACATTGAGCTGATTGAGAGCGGGAGGGGGGAGGGAGGGTTGGGTCGCAATCAGCCGGCAATGGGCGGGTTACGAACTTCGCACCGAGCACAGTCCCGATGATGCGAACGTGTCGTTGGCCTAAATTATTTCCAATGCGGGAAATTGAACCATAATTGATCGCTAGATAACTTCAGCTCTAGCAGTTCCTCAGACTTGTTAACACATATATTTTTTTCCCAATAATTATGCGAATATCGATTTTGAACACAAATGAAGAATTCACATAAATGATAATAAAGAAAGCGAGATGATATGAAAATAACTTTCATCTTTAAGGTTTTTCATTTGCACTAATCAACAATTAATAGACAATGTTACGGAGTAACACAGTTCATTTTAGTCAGTGTTAAGCAACATTAAGAAAAATGGATTTATGTATAAATACAAAAGTCACCGTTCGTTTAGCGATTTATTATTTTAATTATTTTTACTACTTCATCGCTATAAGTCATTAAAACAATATATTGCGAAAATTCACTTCAAGTGAACTTTATTAGCATGCTAAGCTATCGGGTATAAATAGGTAAATTCGACCCGTTGATCGGTACGCGAATGACAGATCAGAGATGTTATATTTGTGTTCACATGCACGGCGCTCGTAAACGTTGTTTGTGCGAGATTTAATCTAATTAAAACTATGTCAACTGGATAAAAGTTGTAATGCAGCAGTGAGGTGATTTAATGTTGTAGGTACTTAATGAGCAGCGTTACCTTTTGTTTACCAGCGCAGCCGAGCTTGCAGAGCGGTGTTATTGAATTAATATTGGTAGATTGAGTAGTGGATGGACACGGTCGATGGGTGCGTAGCGTAGCGACTACCTAGCAAGGAGCGCGGGGTGGTGCCGCTGGACGCGATGCCGGCAGCGGCGGGCGCGTGCGGAAGTCCTCTTAGGTGCGGTGTGGTGGCCGCGTGGCCGCGTGGCCGCGTGGGCTCAAGTGTCGCGCGCGCCGGCCGCACGCGAGCGACAGCCGACAGCCGCCGCTGGCGCGCGACTCGGCCCGCCGCCGCCCGCCGCCCGCACCGCACCGCACCGCACCGCACCGCACCGCACCGCACCGCACCGCCCGCGCCTCTCCACCGCCCTCCCGCGCTATGCTCGATTGACATCGTTACAAAATGATCGCCACACTTTCCGATAAATGAATGCTCCAGCGGCACGACACGGCACCCCAGCGCAACGTGACGCAGGCTCTGGCTGCAGATTTATCTCATTTCGAATAGGAAACCACCACGGCACTTACGATTGCCAACGGAAATGCTATCAATCAGAATTTGGCATAACACCTAGTTACGAGAAGCTTTATACCGGTGTACTTATGTTTGTTTTTAATCAAGTTGCAGAATAACAGAATTTCTATATTAGGCTGAAGAAAGTAGAAGAAACAAAGATGATGAACATATATTATATTAATATTTACCGATTTCATCCCGCTGATTGAAATTTATGGAACTGAAGTGAACTAATCGTGCAATTCTTCACAATTTAACTCACGACATAATTGCTCAAAAGTTAAGAAACTCGAAAGAGAAAAGTGGTCGATGTGAATATAAGACAAAATGATCATTCATTTGCACATATTCAGGAAGAATCATAGAGAGTGGATCATATATCGATAGCTATTAGTTCCTAAGACCCGATGGTCTTAAGAAACTGTTAAGGAACTAAGAGCGAAGAAATAGGAAAATTGGTTATATGAGTATGTTACACATATAGAGAGTATGTTACACAGCTTATAACACTAATAAACATAGCATCATTGATTTTAAAGTTCGCTTAATATCTCCAATAATGAGTTAGCACTCTTATGACATGAATGATAAAAATAAATGTCGAATTTCTAAGCTGGAAGTTCCAAGAGCAATCAAACGTTTTAAAAAGGGCAAACGCGCCGAGATAGATTCTATCCGTAACTAACTATGATATCTGAATAATTAATAATTATCTTGTTCTCACTCAATGGTAGGGATTGGAACATAGTCATTATTAAACATATTATGAAAATCTATACCTTTATTTAATAATGACATATTTTATTTGTACAAATAAATTTTTTGATGTCTAATATCGTTCAAAGCAATCTATGTCCATGTTTATGAGTGATTTTATAAAAAAAGGACGGTATCCGTCGTGAATTGTCAGTTGTTTCTTGTGTATAAAGTTTGATTTTCTATGAACTAATCTACATATAGGCGTAAAATGTATTAAATAAAGTATTTTCTGTTCATAATAAATATTGGAGATTAAAAAAATAATTATTCCCATTAACATTCAACTTTTTACATATATTGAGGTGCATAATTAAAAGAATCAATTGATCAGCATTCTGTTGCTGATCAATTGATATTTTAAGTATGAATTTCTTTGGGATTCATAACTCCTTTAATATTTATAATTCTAATGTTGGTGTTGCTTCTGCTTCGCTCCTTATAAATGATATTTATGTACAAAACAAATATACAATCTCGAGAGACAAAAACAAAATAAGAATAAGGTACTGACCTTTTTGTTTTTAAATAAATATATATATAACGAATATGGCTTAAGCTTAGCCCTTTAAGTGGCTATATATATATAATATAGATACTCTACAGAAAAATAAAATTGGAGTGTCTGTTTGTAATATTAAAATAACCGCCAAAATAACATTGTTTACAATTTTTATGCTGTCTGTCTGTTTGTTCCGGCTAATCTCTGAAACGGCTGGACCGATTTGGACGAGACTTTCACTGACAGATAGCTGATGTAATAAGGAGTACCTTAGGCTACTTTCATTTTAAATTCCACGCGGATGAAGTTGCGGGCACAGCTAGTATATAATAAAAAGGTTTTTACCAAAAAACGTAGCCATTACTTAAACTAAAAAGGTACAGAACGTACCTATTCTGGACATTTGAATAAGTTCTTACGTCTGTACATAATTATACACTGAACTGGCGGAGAGTGATACGAGAGAGGCGGGAGATATTGTCATTGTACATCAGATGATTTAGATAATCTAAGAATACAAAAAGTCGTTCTTTTCAGTTCTGTGGACGACTAGCACCGAGAAGCGGTACCGGATAATTTCCTTCGCTACCTGCTTGAGGTTATGACTTCTATATGCCACAATTAAGTTTTTTCCACCATCTTTTATTCCATGCTCAACGAGGGACAGGAATTGGTACTCAAGGTTTATTCGAAACTTCTCAGGCGTTTCTATCTGAAGGACTAGAACAATGATATTATATACAAATAACAGGGAGATATGACACTAGCGCACCGAAACTGAGGCACTCAAATTACAGCAATTGGTGCAATTAAAGTATATCATACGTTCTTTATAATCTGTCACATTCACTTATATGTGTAATATAATGTAAAGCGGAACAATATCTGTACTCATCATTGGACTAGAATAAAAGAGTTAGTTTTGACGTAGGATCGCAAATCTGTACTAAGTTCTTACGTATAGGTTAGGTTCTAGTTTGAAATTCCGTTTCAAGATTAATCGTAAACTAGGAAAGCATGATGATCATATACAAGTATGATTGTGGATACCGGATTGATATTATATTATGAATAATTGTTATGGTGTCGGTGCTCAAGAGATTTGCATCAACGTCTGGACGGGTAAGAGATTTTGTAGACCTAAGTGAAATTAGAGTGAAGTAGAGAAAAGAAATGAGAGCTCTTCATCAGAAACGCACTATACCCATGTTCTACTCTTGATGAGCATATTGTTATGATGTTCTACATATTGAGCAATTTGTAACGGTAACCGTCTCAACAAGTCTTCTCAAAGGTTTGGTCTCATTAGGTTCTTAGGTCTGGTTAGGTTTTGTTGCCTCAAGCATATAAACAACATGTAAGCGGCACCACACTTTATCCAACACTAATAATATTCGCTACAATAGAACCGTCTAGAAACCATAATACCCAGTTATAATAGCCAGAGGGGTTATAGATGTTTTTTTTTTTAGATTGGACGTATAGAAGAGTTCCAAAAACTAAACGGTTTGATTCGTAAAAGTCATAGTTATCCCCTTTTTCTCGTACGTTTATCAGAATTAGACCCGAAAAAATCGAAATTGAAAAGTTATTGTATGGTGAAAAGGTATCAGCATAGAATACGATTAACAGACTTAAGCGTAAACCCGGAGAAAAGTCCAGTTATAGACTTTATATGGGATAACACTAGCCTCGAACCTGCCACCACCCTCCCACTCACCCGAGCTATCCAAAACCGAAAGGTGAGATAAATTCATTTTAATTGAACAAACATTAAATATTGCCAGATAAATTCATCCGCTTTACAACCTGAGCAAATTGTACTGAATCGCATTAGACAAATAATAAGACGGCCCTGCGAAAGACTGAAACTATGACGTACGAGTATATGATGTGAATTTAACAGCCATAAAGGCTAAGCATATAAATATAAGCAACTCGGTGGTATCCTTTTCTAATAAAAGAGAATCTGCTTTTCTTATAATCCTTTTGTAATAAAGAGACTTTCAGGCGTCTGTTTCTCCGACTGTTTGATACTAGAGAAATATGTCAGTGTCCGCAATTAGAAGCTTGTCAGTGGCAGGAGTGGGTAGGCCGGGGACGCCCCGCGCCAGAAGTGGGGCTTTTTATTTCACCCTAACTGCGCGGCCATACGCCAACACGCACTATCCTTAGGGTTATTAAGGTATCGATCCCAAATGCAGTGCTCCATGATCAATGTCTCTCAACGTCTAATATCGCGATTCCGAAAATTTGCTACTAAATGTTGGGAAAGTAATTTCCAAATGTTTAAACCAAAAGTAGGTCTCACGTTTCAATGTTTACCGTGTACAATAGCCGCATCCACAGACCCCCCCCAGACGTTCGTTCACGTGCCGCGCGGCTTACGGCAACCGCCCGCTCAACGTGACAGCATTGCCAAAAATAATACCGTACACACGAAAAATTACCTGGCTCTTTAAAGTCTTCACTTTCTTGATTAAAAAGATAAAAAAAAATTTTTTTTTTTGATAATAATGATGTAAAGACATCTTCATAGTTTGTACTCAGTTTAATTTAATTTAATTTGTATTTGACATCTATTCAATTACAAATTATAATGAAAGCGCCTGACTGGGGCCCCGTTGGTGTATAACACCGAACTAAAATCATATACATAATACGATCGTAGCGATGAATTTATTGTTATAAAATTATTGTCATACTCATATTGTCGGATAATTGGCAATGAATAATTAGTAATAATTTGGGGGGGGGGGGGGAGCGCGAGGGGGGGGGGGGGGGGGGGGGGTCCTGTCGTCCGCAGAAGATAGGCACGTGGGTCGGCAGCGGTAAGTGAAGCCATAGTTTGAATTTGCAACATTTAGAGAGCACGTTTTTCATATCGGTATCCCGCACCGGAAATTTTTCGTATTTTAAGATACTCTTTTATATAAAGGGTAGGGGAGACCGGGTATAGTTGTCTCACGGGTTAGTTTTCACATTGGTAATAAAAGAAAAGTTATCGAACGAACACGAAAGTTGATCGACGTCAAAGAATCGCGAAGACATCACCACACTCCCCACGTCACTTTGGGTCGCTCCGAAACGCCGCAACGGAGAAACGTGCTTTTGTTTTTTTTGCAGACTGAAAGCAATTTTTTGTGCATCTGTGTCGATCCTTGTAAGTATGCCTAAATTTTGCATTGTGAACTACCTTTTCATGGATTACTAGTAATAAATAGTCACCGATTTAGTTTTATTTTTTAGGGTTATTTTCTATAATGAGTTTTGGGGCAGGTTGTTTCAGCTTAACGAGGGCTGGAGGTCACATGTGACAACCAATACATGTATGTCTGCAGGCTGTTTTGTTGGCTTTTTGAAATTTTGCTACATAATAACGTACGAGCTTGCTGTCTTCAATAAGTTGAATGTTCCACACTCTTGGGAATCAAACAAGCTAGCTGGCCCCGATTGTTTTTTTTTTAATGTGAAAAGTTGCCAAGCGAGCAGACGGTTCACCTGGTGTTAAGTGAATACCGCCGCCCATAGAAATCTGCTACACCCGAGGGTTCCAGATGCTTTGACAATTGGGCTCCGGCCACCTCGCTCACCAGACGAAACGCGAAAGTATTATACT